ATGGGCCCCCACCTGCGGCACCCCAGGGCTGATGGGCCCCCACCTGCGGTACCCCAGGGCTGATGGGTCCCCTACTCCAGCAGTTCTGGGATGTTCTGGGCTTCAAGGAGCCTCCAGTCGTGTCAAGCAGGTTTTTGTTTAAGCTCTGACTTGAGAAAGAGTGAAAATAAATGTTCAGGGGAAATGTGACTTCTCATAAGTCTCCAAATGTCAAAGTTGGTGTTTCCTAAGCCAACGACTTGGTTTTTATTAAAAGCATCTGAGAGAATGAACAGTCTGTCTCCCAAACCACCAACTTCCTCCTGCCCCTTTCGGTTTCTAACCCCAAATAACTTCTCCCTCCTGAAAAATTTGGTGGAGCTGTGGAGATATTTCTTGGTTTATTCATTTCTGCTACACAAAAGTACCATTTTGGGGGTGATTACTTCTTGCGGTTGAACAGAAAGAAACCTTCCTGTGTTTCACAAACACCCGCTGTGTGCACACGGGACGGGACGGGACGGCCTCCACCCAGACGAGCGCAGAGCCTGCCCCGCAGGGCCACAGAGGGAGGGTCCCTGGTGACGTCCCGTCTGCTGGGAAGACCCAGCTCTCCTCGCTCTGCACTAGAAGATCTGCCTGTTCCTTGACTTGTAACGTCTAATTGTATGTAAAATACACAGACAAAAGAACAAGAATCCCCCATGATTCCACTTCCCAGAAAGCGCCACCCCGTTGACGGTTCTGTCTGCAAATCCAGATCATTTTGGGGGCAGTCATGATTTTTTAAGCAAAATAACTTTTCCTAGACACAGCTTTGTAACCTAACGCATAACCAGCTTTCAGAGCAAAAGCTCAGGCCGTGGCACCTCTGGGTAGAAGAGGCGGCACCGAAACCGGCCACGCCTGAAGTTTCTTCCTGTTGTGGCCACAGCCCCTTCTCCACGAGATAGGCATATGCAAATGAACCCTGCAAAGGACGCGGGGGCGACGCCGCAGAAAGGGGGGCAGGGCTCCGCGTGGGGCAGGGGGCTCTGCCCAGACTCAACCCCGCTGCAGGGGGCGGGGTCAGACCCAGAACCCCGAGGCAGCGCCTCCCTGAGCCAGGACTGTCTGCGTGAATGAGGGTTTGGGGAGGTCAGCCACGTGGGCGCAGAAGATGCAGGCAGGACAGGCAACATTTCACGCCCTCACGTGGACAGAAGGAAACGGGGACATGACGCTCACCGAATATTCTTACAAATGACAGACTGACCCAGCAGGGAGAGACTGAGGTTCTGTTGTGTGTGACTTGGCCAACTGCTCCTTTCTGCTGGACGAGACGGCAATCTCCACGGCGGGGCAGCCTTGGGGAGTGGCGTCATCTCCTTGTTTGAGGGTCGGGGGTGCCGGCCCAGGGGAGGTCCAGGGTGGGAAGCTGGTCCCCAAGCCCCAGTCCTGCCAATCCAATTTCAGGGAGCTTTTCGTTTAAGTAAATAAGGAAACAAATAGTGGCTGCCCTTTAAATGATTAAAAATGATGCTGTGAAAGGTATGGATTGTGAACAAAGCTCACTCTCAACCTCAGGAAAACATTTTTGTAGTGGGACAGAAACTGCCAAGGCCAGAGAGAAAGGGCTCGTCCTCCGAAACGTGTCCACTTCGACGCGTTCTGAAGTTACGCCTGTGACAGATGCTGCCCCCCAACCTCCATCTGAAAACTAGAGAAAAAGGGGAAGACAGAGGAGGACGCTCTGCCTAGACGTCGGCTCAGCACCCGCTAGAGGCCCTACAGACTGCAGGGCCTCGGACGCGGGGGCCACACGCAGGGAGGTGGCTTGGGGGACACAGGCCCGCAGTGGAGCTGGGTCTGTAACCTCCTTAGTGGGAAAGAGGGAAGAAGAGAGGCTGAGTTCCGCCTTTCCTTCCTCACACATTCCATCTGCAGCTTCCTGCTGAGTCAGACTGCGATATTGGGCAACAGCAAATCAAACTTGACCCAAGTGCTTCTCCCCAGGGACCGTGAGAAGGGGCTCCTGCCAGGCTGCAGACCCAGCGGCCACAGAGCACCCTGGAGCTCAGAGATGCAGACGTGGGCTCTTTTTCTTTCCACAGTGACTTTGCCAAATGAACCATCAGACCTTAAAGGTGACACTGACCTTGGAGGAAGCAGCACACTGGGGGCCAGGAGATTCAGGGCTGGGAGACTTGGGGCTGGGAGACTGGGGGGTGGGAGACTCGGGGGGCAGGAGACTCGGGGGGCCGGGAGACTTGGGGGAGACTGTTGGGGCTGGGAGACTGGGGGGTGGGAGACTCGGGGGGCTGGGAGACTGGGGGATGGGAGACTCAGGGACTGGGGGACTCAGGGGCTGGGAGACTCGGGGGCCAGGAGACTGGGGGAAGGGGGACTCGGGGGCTGGGAGACTCGGGGGGCTGGGAGACTCGGAGGGCTGGGAGACTGGGGGGTGGGAGACTCAGGGGGCAGGAGACTCGGGGGCCGGGAGACTCGGGGGCCAGGAGACTGGGGGGAGGGGGACTCAGGGGCTGGGAGACTCGGGAGACTGGCCCCAAAGTGGGTGCCACCATGGAGCAAAGAGCAGGCGGTGGCCAGGGCTAAACTCCCTGGCACGCAGGGCAGCCCTGCCTGACACTTGCCTCTCAGGTGGATGCTGACCAATGACTAACACGGGACCACGTTAATGCACATGCACAGACTGAGGGCTTCTGACCACAGATGCCGTGTGGATTCCAGCTGCAAACTTATGAGAGATCCAGGTTTTGGGTTCAAGTACATTTCCTGCCAACTTTTCGTATGGGGTGGGTTGATGCACTTTGTCCTCACACTACAGGGGCAGCCTGTGGCCAGCCCGCACAGCCCTCCAAGTGGACAGGGCTGCCAGTGTCCACACTACATGGCGCCACGGTTTTACACGTGGACGGGGCTGCCAGCGTCCACGCTGAACGGTGCCACGGTTTTACACGTGGACGGGGCTGCCAGCGCCCACACTGAACGGCACCGCGGTTTTACACGTGGACGGGGCTGCCAGCGCCCACACTGAACGGCACCGCGGTTTTACACGTGGACGGGGCTGCCAGCGCCCACACTGAACGGCACCGCAGTTTTACACGTGGATGGGGCTGCCAGTGCCCACACTGAACGGCACCGCGGTTTTACACGTGGATGGGGCTGCCAGCGTCCACGCTGAACGGTGCCATGGTTTTACACGTGGACGGGGCTGCCAGCGTCCACGCTGAACGGTGCCACGGTTTTACTGTCTCGGCACTGTCCCACGTGGGTTTCTCTTTCTTTGCTACCATGTTTTGTTGTGTGTGTGTTTGGGGATTTTTGAGACAAGGTCTTGCTCTGTGGCCCAGGCTGGAGTGCAGTGATGCAATTGTGGTTCACTGCGGCCTCAACCTCCTGGCCTCAAGCAATCCTCCCAGCTCAGCCTCCCAAAGTGCCGGGATTACAGGTGTGCACCACCACACCCGGTCAGAACCATGACTTCTATTTCTAAATTCTTCTGAAATAACTGAAAGACAAGGGGCCCCCATTTCTCAACCTCACCTGAAAGAGAGGTTCCCAAACAGGTCCTCCTCCCACTGGCTCTGATTTAGCAGGTCTGAGAGGATCCCAGCCCAATAAAGACTGCCAGTAATTCTCCGGGCCTCCGGCCTAAAATCCACGGGCCTCTAACAATGGACCATTTAAACACAGAACCGACTTTTATCCAGGGACGCTCCAAAGGGGCTTCTGAAGGGCCCGGTCATGTCTCTTCCCATTTTCTTCCGAAGAACGGCCATGCCCAGTCTTCGCCAGGGCAACCCCCAAGACTCTCGCAAAGCCGGACTGGGCGCCTGACAACGTTCAGCCTGCAGTTCCTTTTGACGAGTTATTTCAAAGAACCCAGAGTGTGCACTAACATAGCACAAACGACTCTCACTCCTCGGCCTGGCGGGCAGCTGCCCCGAAGCCTTTTGGACTGACGCCGAAGCACTGTGACTGACGGCGTGAGATGGTCCCAGTCCCCGGGGCAGGAGGCCCCTCACAGTGTTCTAATAGGTGAAGTCGCCCAGTCGTCAGAACGGGTGGTTCATTCCCACTTGGAAGTAGCCAGACGCAAGGATGTGATTCTTCAGCTAAACGTGTTCTCAAAATCAGAAGCGCTGTTTTGATGAGAGCACACGACCCGTGGTTCTGAACTGAACGGTGGAGTCACAGCTGCGCGGACGTCTTCCCTGATCCCCAGGCCGCTCCTTGTAACGCGGCCGCCCCACGCTTCCCCTGAGGCCGCAGCACCGAGGCCCTGCCTGGCACACTCTCCCTGGCGTCGTCTGCGAGTCCACGCAGGCAGCCGCCACCGACATACACCTCCTGGACAGCCCTGCGAGTCCACGCGGGGGCCGCCACCGACGTGCGCTTCCTGGACAGCAGGAGCATTTAAGCCAACACCGGTTCACATCCGCGCACCGCCAAGGTCAGAAGCCCAGCTGCCTGCACACCAGAGCCCCAGGGAGCACCTCCTCCTCCTCAAACTAAGCAGCAAGAAAAGTGGGAAGGTGACGTACACGCTCAGGACATTGTCTACACACAGAAAAATTCTCTACCCGCGGGAAAATGGGAAGGGGATGTACACGCCTGGGACACTATCTACATGCGGGAACATGGGAAGGTGACGTCCACGCTCAGGACATTGTCTACACACAGAAAAATTCTCTACCCGCCGGAAAATGGGAAGGTGACGTACACGCTCGGGACATTCACGGGAAAATGGGAAGGTGACGTCCACGCTCGGGACATTCTCTACCTGCGGGAACATGGGAAGGTGACGTCCACGCTCGGGACATTCTCTACCTGCGGGAACATGGGAAGGTGACGTCCACGCTCGGGACATTCTCTACCTGCGGGAACATGGGAAGGTGACGTCCACGCTCGGGACATTCTCTACCTGCGGGAACATGGGAAGGTGACGTCCATGCTTGGGACATTCTCTACATCAAAGAAAACACATGGGTGTCAGGTAAAGCAGCAGAGGACCTTACCAGAGTGACTTCTCCACAATCTTGGTCCTGAAAACCTCCTCCTGGTCCAGGTTCACCGTGCAGTAGCAATCCCTCATCTTGCTTGGCCCCGGGTAAGAGGGAAGGTTTTTGGCTTCACCTAAAAAGTAAAAGCGACACACGTCATCAGCAGCGTGGAAACGTCTGGTCCCCTGCTCATCGCAGACACGCTTCCAAACCGCAAGTTTACTTCACAGCCGCACGCCGGCCGCCGCTTGTGTGCATTCACCACTCTCTACAAAGGCCTGGGTTTTTTGCCACCACAAGTCAAAACGTGGATGCGCACACCACGTGTACACGCGCGGGACATTCTCTCGCCAAAAGGCAACGGACACGCACGCCACCCTGAAATGCAAGTGGCGCAAGCAGGGACCCGCCAGCCTGGGACTCGGGATTCCTGTGTCTCACTTTGTTTTCCCCACATTAGTCCCTTTATTTTAACATACAATTTTCCATCTCAGACCTGCTCGAGTGCACAGTTCCGTAGCATTAACCACGTTCACCGAGTTGTGCAACCATCACCACCATCCTCTCCAGAACGCTCTCATCGTGCGAAACGAAGACTCGGTCCCCATTCAACACCCGCTCCCATCCCCTCCTGCTGTCTCCAGCGGCCCTGGCCCCCGTCGTCTCTGGATCTGACTGCTCTGGGCCTCACGTCAGCGGGATCCACGGGACGTGTCCTTCCGGCTCACTCCGCTCAGCCAGTGCCCTCCAGGGTGGCCCTGCTGTGGCCGCTGACTGGATTCCCTTCTTTTTTCAGGTTGAATAACTTTCCATCGTGCAGAGGGACCTCGTCTTGCTTATTCATTTATCCACTGAGTCCCTTTTTATTTTGAATTTTATGTTATGATATTAGGTCAAAGTTGGCGCCAGAATTAAAGGAAAGAGCTCTTTCTCGTGGACATGATTTGACTGTGAACTCCAGCTGTTTGAATTGCCAGTTAAGAGAAGCGTCCCAGAGGGGCCTAAGCTGGGTCCACGTCTCCCTCCCTCAAGCCCAGAGACACCACCTGAATGCACGTGAAGGAAGTCGAGCCGGTTCCCGGCTGGCCCTGCAGAAAACGCCCGTGGTGCCGGACTCACGACCGCGGCGCCGGACTCACGACCGCGGTGCTGGACTCCTTGTTTGCCGGGGTCGATCTGGAGGTCATAACTGAACCCCAGCTGTGACTGCTCTGCTGGCAGCTCGGAGCACACCCCAGCGGCAAGCCTAACGGCCCAGTTTACCAGAGAATCGGGAGGGAGCCGGGAGGGAGAGTGGCAGCTGTTGATCCAGACGGCGGATGCCCAGTTTAAGTCCATTCTGTAAAACAAACGTCTCAAACACACTCGCGCCTCCCCAGGGCCTTCTCCACCTCTGTCATTTGGCTCTAAAGACACCTGGCCATGGTGTCTCGAGGGCGCAGGACGAGAGGACAGATGCAGGCACAGGCACCACGCTGAGACCACACCAAGGCTCACGTAGTTCCTGCTGGTGCCACTCGGGGCCACATCACCTTATTCTTGTTGAAACAAAATCAAAAACAGGAGCAGAGTCGAAGTTTCTCAGATCCCCACTTCTACGCCTTCCAAAGCTTCGCGTCAACTCAGCAAGCACACACGTCATCGCCCACGTGGGCGGTCGGCTCATTTCAAAGACGCCAATTTGCAAACTGGCAGGCCAGAAACTCCAGAGGGCAGAGATAAACTCAGTTTGAAGCTTTTTAAAGACTTTTCATCCACCATATTAACCTGAGGCACTGGGCGAAGGAGCAGAAGCCCCGGGGTCTGGACGAAGGCTCCCGTGTCCACACTGCGTGTATCTCGGGGTCGAGGTGCCGGAGCCCCGGGGTCTGGACGAAGGCTCCCGTGTCCACACTGCGTGTATCTCGGGGTCGAGGTGCCGGAGCCCCGGGGTCTGGACGAAGGCTCCCGTGTCCACACTGCGTGTATCTCGGGGTCGAGGTGCCGGCAGGCGTTCCCAGCGGCACCCGCTGCTGCCCACACGGAGCGGCTCTCAGGGCCTCACTGCTTGCGGCCATTTCCCGCCAGCGCCCCCGACACACGGTCTGCCTCTCTGGGCCTGAAACTCCTGAACTGCAAAAGCAAGCGACACGGCAGCTCTCGAAGGCTCGTCTGGCTCTGAGACGCTCTAATTCAAAAGGTTCTGGAAATTTTTATTTGGGGAATCATTAAGGAAGCGTCAAAGATAATCGGTTGGTGGGAAAAAACAAATGAATACTTTTCATCTGACGGGCCTGGACCCTCAGAACACCTCAACGCGGCGACTCTCCCGGGACGCACCTTCTTCACCCGCTGCACAGGAGAACACAGCCAGGCGGCTAGAGGCACCCGGCTCCAGGCCAGGCCTCAGGTCAGTCATCAAATGTCAAAAGACAGGCTTTCTGAAGGCTCCCACCGATGTGAAGGTCCCGCAGGCAGCACACGCAGGCAGCACACGCACACACACACACAGCACACGCAGGCAGCACACGCAGGCAGCACCCACACACACACAGCACACGCACACACACAGCACACGCAGGCAGCACACGCACACACACAGCACACGCAGGCAGCACACGCAAGCAGCACACGCACACACAGCACACGCAGGCAGCACACGCACACACACACACAGAGCACACACACACACAGCACACGCAGGCAGCACACGCACACACACAGCACACGCAGGCAGCACACGCAAGCAGCACACGCACACACAGCACACGCAGGCAGCACACGCACACACACAGAGCACACACACACACAGCACACGCAGGCAGCACACGCACACACACACAGCACACGCAGGCAGCACACGCAGGCAGCACACGCACACACACACAGCACACGCAGGCAGCACACGCACACACACACAGCACACGCAGGCAGCACACGCACACACACAGCACACGCAGGCAGCACATGCAGGCAGCACACACACACACACAGAGCACACACACACACAGCACACACAGGCAGCACACACGCACACACACAGCACACGCAGGCAACACGCACACACACAACACACGCAGGCAGCACACACGCACACACACAGCACACGCAGGCAGCACACGCGCACACACACACAGAGCACACACAGGCAGCACATGCAGGCAGCACACGCAGGCAGCACACGCAGGCAGCACATGCAGGCAGCACACGCAGGCAGCACACGCACACACACAGCACACACAGGCAGCACATGCAGGCAGCACACGCAGGCAACACGTGCACACACACAGCACACGCAGGCAGCACACGCGCACACACACAGCACACGCAGGCAGCACACGCGCACACACACAGCACACGCAGGCAGCACACGCACACACACAGCACACGCACACACACAGCACACGCAGGCAGCACACGCACACACACAGAGCACACACAGGCAGCACACACGCACACACACAGCACACGCAGGCAGCACACGCGCACACACACAGCACACGCAGGCAGCACACGCACACACACAGCACACGCACACACACAGCACACGCAGGCAGCACACGCACACACACAGAGCACACACAGGCAGCACACACGCACACACACAGCACACGCAGGCAGCACACGCACACACACAGCACACGCAGGCAGCACACGCAGGCAGCACACGCGCACACACACAGCACACACAGGCAGCACACACGCACACACACAGCACACGCAGGCAGCACACGCGCACACACACACAGAGCACACACAGGCAGCACATGCAGGCAGCACACGCAGGCAGCACACGCACACACAGCACACGCACACACAGCACACGCAGGCAGCACACGCACACACACAGCACACGCAGGCAGCACACGCAGGCAGCACACGCGCACACACACAGCACACGCAGGCAGCACACACACACAGCACACGCAGGCAGCACACGCGCGCACACACAGCACACGCAGGCAGCACACGCACACACACAGCACACGCAGGCAGCACACGCACACACACAGCACACGCAGGCAGCACACACGCACACACACACAGCACACACAGGCAGCACACGCACACACACAGCACACGCAGGCAGCACACGCATACACACAGCACACGCAGGCAGCACGCGCACACACACAGCACACGCACACACACAGCACACGCAGGCAGCACACGCACACACACACAGCACACGCAGGCAGCACACGCACACACACAGCACACGCAGGCAGCACACGCAGGCAGCACACGCGCACACACACAGCACACGCAGGCAGCACACACACACACACAGCACACGCAGGCAGCACACGCGCACACACACAGCACACGCAGGCAGCACACGCGCACACACACACAGAGCACACACAGGCAGCACATGCAGGCAGCACACGCAGGCAGCACACGCACACACGCACAGCGCACACACACACACAGCACACGCAGGCAGCACACACAGTTAGGGTGTGTGACGAGTTCACAGGCACCAAGGGGAGAGCACGGCTGGCGAGCTTCTCCAGAAAGGGAAGGGAGCCTGGGGGATGGCAGGTGAGGTTCCCGGAGCAGACGCAGCCTTCCTGGTCGCCGCGGCTGCCCTGATTTTGAGGGCAGCCTCAGCACAGCCCGCGCGTCGGACGGGGCCCCTCCAGCCTCCCGGTTGTTTTGGAACCGACAGCTTCTGTAGCAGAGAGAAGTCCTTGCCCTCAGCGCAGCGCGACTTTGCCGACTTTCCTCCCGACACCTCGACGGTGTGAACGGACGCCGACCATATTTCCCTTGGGATTGTTTTGGGGTTTTTTTGGTTTTGTTTTTGGGAGTTTTTTGTTTTTGTTTTGTTTTCTGGGATTCTTTGTTTTTTGCAACAAATGAGTGTAGATACTTAGCTGTAAGTTCCTGTGTTTCTTAAAAGGAGAAAGAAAAAAGCTTTTGAAAGTCCTGTGGGAGACGGTGTCTGTGGACAACACGGAGCTAAGATTTGTTCCCACAGGGCCTCAGATCACAGCGGTAGCAGCTGGGTCTTCCGAAGGTGGACGCTGCAGGACGGAAACGCACAGGCTTTCCCCAGACTCCCTGTAAGGCAGACGCCACACGACGTGAAAAGGCCGGGTCCTCCCGCGCTGGCACCAACGCACCGGGTTCCTCCCCCGCCGCCCGACG